TATATATATACTTGGTTCTATCCTAGGGCATTATTTATAAATATATTGTTATATGTTGGTTGCTTTAGTGTTACTAATATTTGCTTACTAGGTTGCTATTAAATTCCGAACTAATTTTATTTATTTGTAATTATTGTGAAGGAGTTTAGTCTTACGTTGCATCTTAATAAAGTCACATTTATTATTATTGTCATGGATGTTCACACAAAATGCATGGAATGTTGCAGATAGTTGAAGAAGGAAAAAGGGCACTGGAAGAAAATCTGAAGGACAGTGAAGAAGGTGAAAGGAAGCTAGTATACCTTGAAGGCTTGCTTCTTGGTAAATAGAATCTTTCAGCATTGCTGTGTTGGCACGATTCATTGCCATTATTTTTCTGGTCTTCCAATCCGGGATTTCTACTTCAGCTTGAATCCAATCCACTATTCCAGATGTATATCTAATGATTAGAATTGCTCAGGTCTTAATCGCCCGGATGGTAATTCTGCCATTGAGTTTGGAGTTTAAGATTTTCTTCACTCTTCTGATGTATTCACTACTAGCTTCCTTCTTGACTTCAGGGTGCTTGATGTTGTTAGCGTAAAGGATGCCCAGCAGGGGTGGATTCAGTTGGTTCGGTTAAATTTACATCTGATTTGCCAAACCGGTAGTTGAACCGATCTGCTCACCCTGCCCACCCTGCCCCACTCCTCCCAGGAGTCTCCATGAGGCCCGTTTTGGATGCAGGTAAGTGCAGGGTCCGCGCAGAGGCTCTGTGAGGGTGATAAACAGGGTGAACTGGAAGTTTTGGAAGTCAGGAAATGGGCCTGTTTCCAGCTTCTGGAGCCCCCCTGGGCCATTTTCACCCTCCCAGAGGCCCGAGGGAAGCCTCCGGACTCTGGGGAAGGAGAAAAATGGCTTTCCTGGAAGTTCTGGTAGGCCATGCCCACCCAACAGAGAACCAGTTGCTGGGATTTTTGAATCCCACCCCTGATGCCCAGGTGTTTGTAGTGATCATCTTCATCCAGATGCTTCATATTATTTTCATAGGGCATCTTGATTCTTTCAGTTTTCACTACTTTTCCTTGTTGATGGTGAGGGTGGCATATTTGTCCAGTCTGAACTCCATTGCAATATCTTGGCTGCTTATGCAGCTAATCTTGAACAGCAATTCTATTTCAGATGGTATTTTCCATACACTTTCAGATCATTCATGTAAAAAAGGTGGGATAGACGTTTTTGATGTCTGATAGCCATGGCCTATCTTGTTTAGTGTTGTTCACAGAGAAATCAATGCAATGACAAACAGCAGTGTGATAGTGAATTTCCTTGAAAGATTCCTCTTTTGATGTTAATCTCTCCCAGTCTATCACTATTGACTAGCAGCTTCCATGGTGCCATTGATCTTTGCACAAAGCTTCTGATGTTTCTACTGACTTCTGTTATTTCTAGGCACTTGATAATCCAGTCATGTGGCAGGGAGTCAAATGCCTTCTTGTAATCAATCCACCGACATCCAAGTTGGTCTTCCTTTTCTTGCAGTTTTCCACAATCATCTTGTCACTTAGGATTTGATCTTTTGTTCCTCTGAAGTTTGACCAGCTTTTTTTCTGCTCAGATGGAAAGAGGATGTTTTCAACTAGATGCTAAGTAAGTAATTGACCTGTAGTTGTCTCGTGTTAGATCTATCAGGTAGATTTTGCCAGATGTTAAGCAGTCTTCAATTTCACCCCCTTACAGTACATTTTTAAACTGCTTGGCAACAAGTGGGTGTGGGCCAGTCAAATGTTTCAACAACAACAACAACAAAAAACCCCATGTAGTTCATCTTCATCTGCTGTTTACCAAATCTTGAATTTTCTTGTTTCAGCTTCTTCTTTATTCTTATCCATCTCCTTTATCCATTCTTATTGTATTTCTTATGGATTGTCCTATAGGTGTGCCCAGAACTGCACAGTTTTCCTGAAAATATGACCTATCCCGAAAATAAGTCCTAGCCTGATTTTTTGGGGGTGGGCCTAATATAAGCCCTACCCCCCCCCAAATAAGCCCTAGTGAGGGAGTGGGGGTGGCCAGCACAGGAGGCAGCTCTTCTCTTCTCTGGTCACCTCATGGAGGATCGGCCCTTTAATTGCAGCCCGTGGATCAGCTGATCCAGCGAGGGCCAAACAACTCGGCCAGATCTCTGGAGCATCTCCCCAGCCACCACCTGCCAGGGCCCCTTCACCAGCAGTTGCGCTGGTCTCTGCACAAGTTCTATGGCAGCCTGCAGCAGGAGGGAGGGGGAGATAATTCCTTCCTCCTTTGCATCCCAAAATCTCATCTTCCATGGCCACTGAGCCCTCTGCCTGTAACCCTCTCGCTGGAGCAAGACGTGCAATTCAATACTAGTGTTACCTGTGGAGGCCTCCCAGTGCAGTGCTCTGCCATAGTTTCAGTAAGTATCAGAATTACTCCTATTCATGAAGTTTAAGGAATCGGAGAGTTGATTTCCACATTTGACAAATGGTCAGTTTAAGGGAGACCTTCTCTAATTCAAGTTATCTCCTGTGTGAGAATTTCAATCTCTGGTTCTGGTAATAGAAGATACTAAAAATATTGGTAGCAATTGAGATGTCCACTTGGATTAAGATCTGAGCCATTAGAGAAATGAAATTCAGTTGGTGAGATTAGGCCAACCCCTCTCCCTTAGCTGAACAATGTTAAATGAAGGTATTAGAGGAAAATGCAGCTTTTTACTAATATATAGAGAGAGTTTGTGTTGTCTAACTGAAGACTTCTTATATTCTTTATAATGATTAGATCAGATGCCCTCCCAACCCTGTGCATTTATCACAGCCAATATCCAAAGGGGTTTTTTCCACAATAGCCAAACACGTTCAGTCAGCCAACAAAGCAGGATAAAGCCTGGCAGCCTCTTAGCTGGTGGTTTTCCAAAAGTCTGCTATCAGACCTTGATTTGCCAAAAGTCCTGAAAAACAAACAAGGGGACTCTTGGCTTAGAGAAGATCTATATAAGAGGAAAAAGGTGTGAAGAAATTGAAACATTCATGTATTTTCAGAGGAAAGAAAAAAACAGCTTTATTGACAGAGCCATAGGGAGATTTGGTGCTTATTTCTGCATAGCGCCAGCTTGTGAGATTTTGGTGCCTAAGGCAGAGTAGTAAATGAAGTCTGCCAGCCTACCCATCCACCTCCTCCCAAGATCCTTTGCTGTGTGGCAGAAGGACAAACAAGTTATTTTGGCAATGGAAGAAAACATGCGTCTCTTCTCCTTGGCTGTAAAATACGACATTAATAAACAATTCACTACCTTTTTGTAATGCCAAAATCCTGCTGCCTTAGGTGGCCATTTAATTTTGCCTAATGGCAGAATCAGCCATGTTGTGTATGCTACAAGTGCTCGGAAAGACATGTTTGTGCCAGAGATGGGATTCAGCAGGTTCTGATCAGTTCTGGAGAACTGGTAGCAGAAATTTTGAGTAGTTCAGAGAACAGGCCTATACCACCTCTGACTGGAGATTTTACAATATCCTTCCCCTGCCATGGTGACCAAGACATACATACCCACAGAACCGGTAGTAAAAAAAAATTGAATCCCACCACTGGTTTGCGCCCATTCTTACTATTTCTGTGGAATGCTGTCAAATGTGTATCTGAAATCAATCAGATTTCTCCTGATGTGAGAAGCCTATGACTTTCTCTTTTATAACTAATTAGCAGTCACTCTGGCATTTTGGGGGAAATGATGCTGTGAAAAGATTTTTCTTAAACACTTGCCCTTGACACCATTTCTCTATTAGTACCAACTTTTATTCTGGGCAGCAAGAAAAATACTGAGATACTAAACGTGCTACAGGTAGTCCTTGATTTACAACACTTTGTTTAGTGATTGTTCGAAGTTATAACGCCACTGAAAAAAACGACCGATGATCGTTTTACACACTTATGACCACTGCAGCATCCCCAACGTCACAGAATCAAAAACCAGACCCTTGGCAACTGACTCATGTTCATAATGGTTGCACTGTCCCGGGGTCAAGGCAGTGGTGGTGTATGCCGCCAGTTCGCACCAATTCTAGCGATCTGGTTCCGCCGGTCAGCAATTGGCCCCGCCCCCACTCTTTCCTGTCCTATATTTCCTTTGTAGCTCAGCCGATTGGCACAACACAGTGGATTGTTGTGCCTCAGCTGTTTTTTTACTCACCAGTGCTGACGGTAAGGTAAGTTTTCAAGCTTAAAATTGCCCATTTTAGAACCCCCCCCCACAAGCGCACGAAGCAAAGCGCATGCCCACAGAACCAGTAATAAAAAAAGTTTGCATCCCACCACTGGGTCAATTGATCCCCTTTTGCAACTTTCTGCTAAAGTCGACAGGGAAGCCAGATTCACATAACTGCTATGTTACTGAATGTACAACTGCAGTGACTCGCTTACCAAATGTGGCGAGAGAGATCGTAAAATGGAGCAAAACTTACTTAACAAATGTCTTACTTACCAACAGAAATTTTGGACTTCATTGTGATCGTAAGTCGAGGACTACCTGTATAGATTACATTTTCAATTCACATGCATATTTGTCTTCTGGCAACTAAGACAGGCTTCAGGAAAACAATTAAACTGGACGTGCTCCTTCATGCTTGCCAAGGCATAGGGACATATCTTGAAGACTAGAGCTGAAGAAATACTTTGGTGAGGACAGAAGGAAACAGATGGGAGACCCAGGATTTCCCCTACAGTGCTTGGGATTTGGATCTGAGATCTGCGAGAAGAAATTTGGAAGCTGGAGGATTCACCTGCTATTTTCAGCCATCTCAACATCTGTTCCTTAAACTAAGTTCTGACAAATTTCTGCAATATCTCTATCCAGCTTGGGCTTCTCTCCTCTGAGTCTCCCACATTTCCACACGAACAAGGCACAAAACAACACATCCTAAACTGGGTATGACTAGAACAAGATGCAGAATATTGCCAGCCTACTGTCTTCTCATCTCTTTGCTCATGGCTGCTTCCAAACTGACCTTGAGGTGCAATTGAGGGATTTTCAGCGAAACGGTCTTCTGCCGGGCCAGGATCTTCTGTAGTTCATTGACACGGGCCGTGACGAAGAAATGTAGGGAAGCTTGTTCCAGCAACTGGCTCATGTACTCGCTTGACTCGATGAGCACCTCAAGAGTTTCAGCTGACAGGAGGAACAAACAGAGAAACGCCACTGAAGCCTGTGCAATATACTGCAGCTGCCAGTTATTATTCCCAGAGCCCATTTATGGCATACTACTCCAGATTACATCAGATAGAATAAAGATGTTGCTTGCAGAAGGCTCCAGTGCTTTTCAATATGCAAAGGAACATCTAAGAGCTGTAGTTCATTCTCCCTGCTATAATTGAACAGAATAACCAGACCTGTATTTGGTTCACTTCCACCCACACAACGAACAGTATTTACCTTAAGCTGCTGCTGCTGCTAGTGGAAATATAATACTTTAAATAGGAAATATTGCATTAAGGAACGACTTTGGATCTTTTCCCTTTACTGAGTTACAGAATTTTCCACACATCCTTCACTTGGCAGAAAAATTCCTTCAGCCTGAAACCGCCAGTCCAATCCAGCCTCTGTTTCCCTTCCCAGTTATTGCAAACCACATGTTTTCTTTGTGATAACAAAGTCTTAACTGCTTCTGTTCGTTTTTATATTTATTTGCTAAGCAAATTTATATAGCCACCCAACTCATACACAGTGATTCAGGCAACGCACAACATTTGGAAGCGAGCCTTCAAAAGGGTTGGAATAAAAAGTAAAGCTGAAACAGTTCAATATTCCTTATGAGTTTCAGTCATCCATTGGGGATGAGATGAAGGCAGCATCATGGGGACATGATAGCAGAAAAAGAGAGACCGCCAGGTGCAAGGGGATAAAAACCATTTGTCTTGCAAGGCATTGAGCCATTAATAGTGTGTGCGTGAGAGAAAGAGACACACACACACACACACAGAGAGAGAGAGAGAGAGAGAGAGAAACATACACACACAGAGAGAATGAGACACACACACACACACACACACACAGAGAAACTTTATTTGTTCTTTTGGAATTTGGAAAGTAGTTTGCTAATAAATCTTTCTTGAAGCTATTGGGATCACCTGGAGAAATCTGACATTTAAAAGCAATCTCAGAAGGGCATTTAAGAGTACCAATGTTCTCAAAAAGCAATGCTTGTTCCAGGAAAGAAAAAAAAAAAAAGGTCTACAGGATTGTCCAAAATATTTCAATTTCCTCAGAGCATTTTGATCCTCTCTTGTAATAGGAAGCAGACCCTGATTCTACTCCTGTCCTATATTTGCATGACACCTTGTCTATGATTTATAATGATTTATTTACAGTATTCAACCCATTTCCCCAAGTTTATATAATATATTGAATCATAAATTGACAAGTTAAAGTTATGGTAGGGCATCTTTAAGGTAAGGCATCTGAGGCTAATCTAGATTTTTGCAGGCCAGATCTAATAGCCCTTGTTTGTGTTCATTAGTCTCTACCTACCCAAGCCTACAGTCAGGCTGTGGTTTGTAGAAATCGGAAACTTGGAGACAAACAGGTGTTAATCAGGTATGATATCCATCAGCCTTGCTTTTAACTATGGTAGCTGTGCTTACTGCATGTTACATTTCAGCTACATCTGAATGTATGTAATGGCTGAATGGATGGAATATATCTTTCACTCCCTCCTATAAAACAACCAGGGATTCCAAAACCTTTTTCTGTTTCACATATTTCTCTAATCCCATACTTAGTTTCAACCATTGTTTATTGAACAAGTCCTGAGGACCCTAATCTATAATACTGAATTATAAGTAATGGTTTACAATGTGAAATAACTGAGGTCAGAAAGGACTAACTAGTACAGTACATGTTGTTCCATGAAATGTCATTGTTTTGCTAACAGGCATCAAAATGCTATGGGCTATTCCGGCTCAGGCCAGGAAGTGGGCGCTTCTCAGATGTAAGAAACAAGGTGTGGACCAAAAGTCTATCTGGCCAAAGATTTTAAAAATCTATATTGCAAATTGAATAAATAAGAGTGATTTCCAATGTTTATTTAGCTGGGATGCTAACCCCACCCCCCACCCCCCGAACTGAATGGGCGTTATTGTGCTTCTGAGTCAACATGTATTGTAGGAGCTGGGTCCCAATTCTTGCAAACACATCCCCAAGCAACCTTTTTGCTGTCTCCTGAACTCCTTCCAACTGTACAACAAAAAATTCCAAAACTTGGTAGATTGTTTTTTGAGAGGACTCATCCTCAACAGCCTGATACTGTGTTCAACAGTGAAGGGACACAGGGCAGAAAACATCCTGCAGAAGGCTCCACACCCATTTGCACTGCTCAAGACACAGATAAACCTCCAAGTGGCCTCAATGAATCTCTAAAAGAACGCAAATGTCCAGCTGTCTGCAAGAAGTATAAATCCTTCCATTCCCCACCATCCAGTCTGAGCTGGAGAAGCTTCTTGGATGAGAAGCAAAACATCATCAAAGAAAAACCAGAAAGTCCAGTTGCCTCTTGAAAAAAAACCACCTTTGGGACAACCCTGACCCAAATAACTGAGAATTTTTGAGAGGTGAAATACATAAAATCTGTAGCATAAAGCATAAAGTATTACAGTATTTAGAATTGTGCTGGGTAATCTTATTAGAAAACATACTGGAAATCAGGGAAACCTATTTGAAGAGAAGCTGGATTTGGCAGGCCTATGGGGAGTGGGATGACAGGCTGAGCTGGGGAGCATCAGAAGGTACAAATCTTAATCTCTTATCTTGACAGTAGTACATGTGAAACTCTAACTCTGTATTGTGAGGTTATGGGATAAAAAGTTGTGCTGCTTTTTTCTCCTGTTGTTCCATCCACATCAAAACAGAACTCTTGAATTCCTTCTAATTGCTATTTGCAGGCAGCCATCTGACCCAGATTTCTAAGACAGTCAAAAGCTGTTTGATGTGCCCTCTCCGCTGCAAAGGAATTACACAAAGTGCCTGTAAGTCTTAACCTTGAATATAAAACTCTGGAGCAGTCAACTCTCTTGGAAAAAAGAAAAGAAATAAATGAGCTGGGTGACACGTGAATTCCATTTCAAAGTTCCAAAAAAGGAATGCGAGGAAAACATCTCAGGTTACATTTGCACTTGTATTCGGTCTTCTATTAAAAGTGGCATAAATTGACTTTTAAAATTCTCCATCAAATTTGTGCACAGAGAAATAGGGCAATTTCTCCAAATGATTCCAGGATCAAGTAGAAATTTCTCAAGAGCAGAATTTCCTTCAGTGGCAATAGAAATATCACACTGAGAAAGTTGTATGGTAAGAATTTCCTCCTAATATCATTCTTTAGGTTATAACTGAAGACAGTGAAGCCAAAGAGGACACAACTGCAGGAGAACAGATTGTACAAGTAAAAACAGGGACATTCATACACATGCCATAGCCAGTGTGCAACTAGATAAACCTAAGAACATCACAACATAATTTCTGCAAACAAGTTTTCTTTTGTCAGATTGAATATTAAAAACACAAATGATTTTCCTGGTACTATGGTAATTTACAGTAGATGTATGCCCCCCTGAAGCAGTAGTAAATTCAGTATGAGCCATACAAGATCAATCTGTAGAAGAAGGGATTATTGTTGTTATTAATTAAATGTATGAGCCACCTACTTCCAATGGACAAGTGACAATATTAAAAAGAAGGATAGATAAATACCAGCACTAGAATAAAAGTTGGCAAGGGTAACAAGAACAAGATGGGATGGAAAAGAGATAAAAATACAGTTCAAGGGGATGTCACTCTCCATCACCAAATGCCTAAATGAAGAGCTAAATCTTCAAGGCCCCAACAGGATTGGTATCTTCTGAATCTGGGAAGGGGGGCCCTTAGTCTAGAGGGGAGGTGCTGCTACAGAGAAGACACCCTTCCAGAATGCTGATAGATGGCTTTATTTAATCAAAGGAATTTGGAGTGTATCACTCCTGCCAGGCTAAAGAGGCCAGGCAGGTACAATAGAAGATGGCCATTAGCGTGACCACTAATGGTGTATATATTTACCACTAGATTCACATCATATTTGTACAATCATTGAAATACAGGAAGACTGAACACAACAGCTCAGTCTAATGATTTCTCTTCCTCTAGATTTTGGCTCTAAAATTAACATCCAATGAGCAAATGACGTTATGTAAATTTAGAGCTGGAACAGGTATTCTAAAAGGATAGGATTGGTTAGCACAGATCTTCTTTCTTATTGCTCGTAATGTATGGTTCTCCATTTGATTTGGATTAGATATGGGCTGCAAGGCAACCAATGGAAGGGCATGAATGAAATAATTGTAAAAATCAGGAAGACTTTTATTTTAAGACAAGGAGTGATCACAGGCATGTGTACGTTGATCTAATTTCAAAATCAGTTCAGATTATACTTAGAATGAACGGTTCCTTTACTGAACAAAGGAGATAATGAGAAGAAAAGAGAGAGTGGAAGATGACAGATGAGTAATAAAAGGAGGTAAAGATAGCCAATTTTGATCAGGGCCTTATCCATCGCTGGCCTTGCTCTCAGCCAGGACATGCAGTTCTTGATATATTGTTCCTGAGAAAATGATAGCCTCAAGAAGTGAATTTTAAGCCAGGGTACTAGGAGTTCCTCTCAGGGAGACGGCAGTTCAAAAAGGTGATAAATAAATTAAACAAACAAACAAATAAATAAATATTTCATTGGAAGAAGAGATGTTTTCAAATCTTGGCGTACAAGGAGGAAAGAGATTAAATAATAGGACAACAAGAATCACAGTTATATTCTTTGGCATGTTTTTGGATAGAACACATAACAATATGACTAGCGTGTGTTAAAGAATCTTTAAAAAAAAAAAATTCGCAGAATATTTTTCCGTTGAAGATATTGATGCATTCACATCTACAAACTTTGTCACACATACAAACCCTTCTCGTATGCTTTGGATTTTCCAAAACCACGGCTCCTATTCATAATTATACTAGGATCATCTACCATATGTAGAATACAGCTGAAGCCATGCATAGGTTTTGCTATATAATGAATTTTTAAAAGTTCTAAAAAACCCTCTCAGTGTATTTATGCTAATTATTATGTGTGTAATTAAAATACAGTCACTTTTTGTCCATCTGTGGATATGAGTTTCAATACAAAAAAAAAAAAAAATTCTACATAGTATGGTTGTGTTTATTTTTAGATTGCCAAAAAAATCTTACACCAAACAAGCCGAGAATATTGCACACTGTAGCCTTCACGATAGGTTAAACATGGAGCAGATGTGGGAACCAGTCTCAGGCTTTTAAGTGTTCTCCTGCTGTGCAAATAAATATTTAATGTGAAATGGGACTTTCATACAGCCATCAGTCAGATTCCTATTTAATTTCTAATTAGTGTGTTTTAAATTTATAATTAGTATAATTCCAAGCACTGGTACACAGATCTGGATTTAATAATCAGGTATCTTCAAGCTCCTTCTCATCATGAAAGTTAACACTGTACATGATTGGAGGTAACCAGGCCTGCCTCCTTCCTGTTCTGAAATATATGTATTATGCAGTTGGTAGCGATATCATTTTTAGATTTAATTAAATTCCCCAGAGCAGTGCTATCTTAGGCCACTGTGCGAAATTTAAAACCAGGAACATCTTGCTACCATCCATCTCTGGTGTAGATGCTGTTCTTTTCTGCTACTGCATACCAATTGCCAGCAGTTCTGATTATTTTAAGAGAGATTAGTGCTTTGTACACTAAACAGCACTTTGAGCTTGGAATTGGTCCTGCTACATCTGACCTACAAAGTTGAAAATCCTAGGCTCCAAATGTCTGAAAGATCACTGCTGCCCTATTATAGACATAAAACAAATTTATTGGAAATATTTTTTTTGGGGGGGGGGGGTTGAAATGCTGGGTGGGGTCATGGCCAGGGGTGGGATTCTACAGGTTTGCACCTATTCTCTGGAACTGGTTGTTAACATTCTAAGCAGTTCGGAGAACTGGTTGTTAGAAGAAATTACTGGCCTAATCCTGTAAGGAAGGCAGGAAGGAAACATTCTGGTGTTGCTTACAGAAACTGCCTCTCTGTTAACCCTTATTACATTCTTGGCAGACTAGACTTTCTGCCTCAGGAACTTTTCTGGAGGTTATTTTCCCTCCTTTGCTGGTACTTTGCTTGTGTCGATGATTATTCAAAGTTACAATGGCACTGAAAAAAGTGACTTATGACCATTTTTCACACCTAGACTGTTGCAGCATCCCCACAATCATGAGAGGCCAGGCAAGGAGATGGTGCCTCAATGTGAGTGATGTTGAGTTGGCCATGCCCAGCCAGTCACAAGCCACACCCACCAACTAACCCACGCCCACAGAACCGGTTGTTAAAAAAATTGACCCCTGGTCATGGCCTAGATGCCAGAACTGGATGAAATCTGCTGATCATTCCTTTTCTAAAATCTAGAAAGCAAAGTTCATTTCTTTGAGAGAAATGTCTCTACAACAGACTGTGTGTACGTTTCTGAGTCCCTTACAGCAGGAAAGTTCTATGGTAAAAGAATAATAGTCATACCCAGGTTTTCTTCAGGGGGGAGGATATTTAAAACTACTTAAATCAGCAGAAGTTGTGTAAAAAAATAGCTGTATAAATTAAAAAGTCCTCTTAAAGTAAATAGTTGCACTTTTCTTGCCAGAGTTTTAAAAGCAAAATGGATGAGAATACTGCCTTGCAGACATAAACAGTAAAAGATATTGAATTGTTAGTGATCTACATATCTCTAACTCCCATATGAGTTTTGATTCAGTTCAGGCCATCATTTTGTAAATTCCCTTCTGCTTTCTGAAATTAAATAAGGAACTACAACAAGTAAACCTTATCTACCAATTCAGACCACTTGAATATTTTTCTCAAGGCTTGGTATAATAAAATATCAGGAAATCAATTTTTTTTCTTACCAGCCTTTGTGCAATTCTATTTCTAGTATTTTCAGAATCTTAAAGCATTTTAATCAATTAATTAAACATTTTCTGGTTGATAATGGAAGCTTTTTATGCAATGTAAATTTCTGCAAAAATTCTGCAAAATACATTCTAAATAAATACATCCTTGTTCTCTTATTGTATCTTTATCCATTGTAAACCTTCAATAAGTGGTGGGATACATTAATCTTATCCAATCTGCTCCCCTCCTGATCTTCGGATTTCAATCCTCATATTGCTAAATCAGCATGGTCAAATAACGAGGGATTATAGACACTGAAGTCCAACATTCCTAGAAAATGCCAAGTCACAGAAGGAAGGTGTCCACATTTGAATAAATTGTGTTAGAGGTCAAGAGACAATTATTGTCTTACCTTTCATGGGTTCTAGGGTCACATCAAAACTGTCATTCTTGAATTCAGTCTTTGGGACTCCAGTATAAAATACAACATTGCCAGAAATATAAGCTGTTACAGTGTAGGGTCTTGAGGTTTTGTTTTGGAAAGTAATTGTGACATTGAAATCACTGCCAAGAACTGAATCTTCGATCACAACATTCATGTCAACCTCCGTATTGGATGAGATGTCCTCGGCTACAGATTTTTTAACACCATACATTAAAGCAGTGTCCAGGGCTAGTCTTTCTTCTTCTGTGCCTGAAAATTAAATAGATATTGGCTGCCACAATATGTAAATTACCAGCCACTAACTCACAACAAGGCTAAAATTTAGCTTATCCATGGCTTCATACCTAGAGAGTTGCATATTCTTTGCTACAATGTGATCTAATTTGAACTCTATAAGCAGAAATAGGCTGAAGGCTATTTGAGATATGAATCTTCTTCTCACCTTCCCTCAGTATTTTATTGGGCCTTCTGGTGTAAGAAAAAAAGGCAACCAATGACTAATTTAAAAGAAACCAATTTTAAAATGCAGTTTCTTGCAATTAATAAAGCTGTCAGTCACAATGCTGAGTCCAAATAAATGATGAACTAAAAGTTAATATTCTCAATATTGAAAGCAGGAGAGAAGTGAAGTGAAAATCTGTGAGGGTAAGGCTTGTTTCGGCTTGTATGTGTCATGCAGAAACCAGGAACATAATTCAACTTTATATTCCCTGATCATTTCTCACATGTGGCTTGGGAGTTAAATTCCAAAGAATACGCTGGCAGTCTACTAATGTGCTAAACAATGTTAGTGCACGATATGTGAATATGATCAATAGAACTTGTATTGCTGCTTTATACCCGATTTTAAAATTAAGGGATGGCACAGGAAAACATAATAACAAATAGCCTGAATTATTATTGTATATGGCACAGAGTCAAAAAGATGTGAACAAGCCTTGTGAACACATATTAAAGAATATGTCAGAATTTTACATGAACTAAGAAACTGTGATTAACAGCTTAAAAAACAACTTCAAACTGTGGCTTTAAATAACGTTTTTTAAATAAAGCTCTTAGCTATAATTTTCTCATGGATGAAATGGGAAGTTGTTAACTGGAAGTTTATGTTTCTTTATATATTACCCTAAAGTCTAGACTCTAGAAATTCAAAAGGGACTGGGTAGATGATAAGGATGCAATTCTGTGGATAGTTCTGTGATACCATTTTGTGCCATTTTGGGTTACGAGAAACCAAGCATGATTGAGTGAGTTCTTTTTCTGAGAGTTTATGTTCCTTAAAGACCTTAGCATAGTCTGTACCTTTCCTTTTCATTTCTGTGCTTCTTCATTCCCTGTTTTCCTCTTCATAGGAATTCTTGCCAACCCAACTTCCTGTCTCCTGGGCTGAAGTTAATTCTTACACTTTCCCACTGCTCATCCAGTAAAGACTGAGAATACTGTGTTTGAATTTCTTTCCTTCTCACCTTTTCTACTTTCTTTTCTCTCTCTTTCTTTCTTTCTTTCTTTCTTTCTTTCTTTCTTTCTTTCTTTCTTTCTTTCTTTCTT